CACAAACCTCTATTATTAATTGTAAGAAGACAATTAACGCAATTCAGTTAACATTTAAGATTTTTATGTTTTGTACGCGAACGTAAAGCATGAAGGGTTGCCTATAATAATTATCAGATTACGAAATTATTTTAATTCAAAGTGGAGGTGACGTGTAGTTCGGTGTGTTGTTGGTTGTTGGCTATTGGGTATCTTAAGAGGTTTTTATCTAACTTACGGTTTATTTATTGGTGTTGTGCCTGTTAATTAAGAAGCATGAGGTTTCCGGGAATATTGTTAATTTCACTTTTTATTAATTCAATAAGTGCTAAATCAACGTTGGTTCTTTTGGATAACGTTTTAATTAAGGAAACACACTACACATTTTTCCAGTCGTTGAGAGGTTTGTATGAAATGGGACGCATTGAAAAATAAGGTTACCTAACACCGGTATTTTGTAGATCGTGGCTATGAACTTACATTTAAAATTGCTGACGATTCCTCATTACATTTAGCAAAATATGGTGAATATATTTATGAGAACTTGATTATCTTTGCCCCTTCTGTGGAAGAGTTTGGTGGTTCATTAAGCGTAGATACCATTACACAGTTTATAGATGATGGGGGCAATGTTTTAGTTGCTGCAAGCAGTAGTACAGGCGATGCTATCAGAGAACTTGCTTCTGAGTGTGGTCTTGAGGTAAATTGAAGTAAATATATTTTAATCAAAATTATTGCTTTTCTTTTAGATTGATGAAGAGGGAGCATATGTTATTGATCATTTTAACTTTGATGCTACTGATAGTGGCCAACATACAAAAATAATTGTACCATCTAAAAACTTAATTGATGCACCTGTAATTGTTGGTGATAAAACAGAAATAGATAATAATTCGGAAAAACAAGAATTGTCACCTCTTTTGTATCAGGGTACAGGTATTTTAATTGACACAGAAAATCCTCTTGTTCTACCTTTGCTAACTGCTGACAGTACTGCTTACAGTTACAATCCAAATCAACCTATAAAAGAGGTAAGCTTTTTAAAATAATTTTTGATAATAACAATACATTTTGAATAACATATTATATAATTGTAGTATCCACATGCTGTTGGAAAGAATGTTGTTCTTATAGCAGGCCTTCAAGCAAGAAATAATGCAAGAGTAGTATTTTCAGGATCTTTGTCATTTTTCTCTGATGAATTTATCACTTCTCCTTTAGAAAAACCACAGGTAATGCCCTAATTTTTTTGTTTACTTTTGTCACTAATAACTTTTAAAATTTATTTAAACATAATATACATATTTGTTTTTCTTTGTAGGATGAAATTAAATTTAACAGAACAGGAAATAAAATTGTTGCAGATGAAATTAGTAAGTGGGTATTTAAGGAACATGGAACACTTCGTGTCAGATCAGTAAAACATCATAAACTTGGAGAAACTGAACCACCAAAGGCCTACACTGTAATGGATAAAGTGGTAAGTTCTTAATCATTTGAAATGTTTTTATTCAATTCTTTAGTTAGGGGTTAATAAGGAAATACAATAATCACAAAGTAAATAATTA